GGACTGGTGCGTGAAATGAAAAATCCGCATCAACGTCCAGAAGACGCAGGCAATCTTCATCCAACGAAGAAGGATTGCAAGACCTCTCGAAGCATCCATCTTCGACGAAGATATCCAGTGGAGCGACAAAGTCAAATATCTGGGGATCGTATTTGACAAGTCTCTCACCTGGAAGGACCATATAGAAGCTGTCATCGCAAAGACCAGAGCAGCCATGGCTCAACTCTACCCATTACTGGGTAGACACAGCCGGATGCCGCTAGCGACCAAGCTACGGCTGATCAAGGCCATCGCCAGACCTCAGCTCGCTTACGCCTCCGCGGTCTTGGGGTACGCTGTCCCCAGCTACCGCAAGCGACTTGCTGCTCTAAAGATGAAGCTACTCCGGATCGCCACCAGTGCACCATCCTACGTAATAAACTCAACCTTGCGTAGAGACCTGCATTGGGACACCATTCACGAGTACATGAGGAAATAAGCGGAGAAGACCTTCCAGAAAGCTCAGGACCACCCGAACGAGCAGCTACGATTCCTCATGGACTACGATCCGGACGAGAGGCCTCGCAACCGCAGCACCAGGTACCCTAGACCAAGGTCCCAGTTGGCACCCGCTAACTGGAACCCTGAATAGGAGACTAGGAGAACCCGCGGTTGCTCCCCCCCCCACGGCGTGGATGCAGAGGACCAGGAACCACCGGGACCAGGACCCACCGGGACCAGGACTCGCCGGGACCAGGACCCACCAGGACCAGGACCAACCAGGACCAGGACCCGCTACGACCAGGACCCACCAGGACCAGGACCCTTCAGGACCAGGACCAGGAACAATATATAGGTAAGAGGACTTGAAACTCTTGAATTTTCGAAAACAAGAGTTTCAAGAGAACCTAGCAGACCCTCTATCGATGATCGCTTAGCGACATCGATAGAATGTGCGAGGTAAAGGGAATCTACCCGGCCTTCCCAGAGACTGAAACACATGAGGAGACGTTCTAGCAGAACGCAGGTCACGCACAATACATGGCCTACCGAGACGCTGATGAGTCGGGCCACGCGGAGGTTAGGGTTTAGTGGGTATTAGGTGGTCTCCTCAAGACAACCTGGAGTCCCACACACGCCGTAGCTCGGGCTATGGTATGGTGCATAAACGCATTCCCCCCTCACCAAAAAAAAAAACAAGTTATACAGATCCGTACAGATCTAATGCGAAGTACGATATCTGATTGGTCGGTGGGTGACGTGGCTTAAAATTTGAATGCTAACAATTTTTTATTTAGGTATTTTGGGTCTTACGTATGTTAAACGATTCTATTTTCGTGTTTTGGTTGACATTTTTTCATCATATCATGCCTCACGTCGACATCTTGTTCATCCAGTTGCAGAAGAGAAAAACCGATCCAGCGCAAGTTAAAACGGCTATCGATAATTTTGAAAAAGGTGAAAACGTATTGTCGATGTGAGAAATAAAATTGATGACATAATAAATGAAGCCAAAAGTATTTTCACTGAACCCCAAGGCAACAAAAGGAGACGACGTAATAATAGCAGTCACGATCACCGAGTTGTCGCATTAGAAGTATGCGACTATATAGTGAATTCTGCAAATGACAGATTTCAATTCAAAGATCATTTGGTAGCCGCTCCCCTTTTTTCCCCGAACACTTTGGAGAATACTGTGGTACGTTTCCTGATGACAAATTGGAAACTACCTGCTTGGCTTATCCGAATTAAAAAAAAAGTCGTTTAGAGACAGAGTTGTCTGTTATTTATGCACGGAATGATTGTCGAGATTTACATGGAACTCTGTCTCTTTGGAAATTTTTGATACAAAATACATACACTAAAAGAAACAAAAAAGCTATTAGAAATTATTGTTACAACTCCTATGTTAACATCAGAAGCTGAGCGAAATTTCTCAACATTGAAAAGAATCAAGAGCTTTCTTCGAAATACTATGACTCAGGATCGCCTTACAGCGTTGTCGATGCTGTCCATTGAAAAGGAATTTATTTCGACCATGGATAATTTCAACGAGAAGGTGAATTTCCTGCCAAGAAGGAGCGCAGGATCGAACTGACATATAACAGATAGGTAAGTTCGGATTTGCAAAACACCTGTTTTATTTTGCCACGAGCCGCCACTGGTCTCTTAGTTCTTCAGAAACATAGCAAAACGGTGCTTAGCGCGGAACATGATCTTTACGTTTACATTTGGAAGGCTGACTGTCGCTGAAAGCAAAAAAGCAAAATTATCGCTGAGGCAGGCATTCCAAAATTAATCTCCACATGCTTACCAAATTCTCCATTGTATCTGATGTCCTGTCCGTCTTCTCTTCTCCACATGATGAACGCTTCCGGGTAGCCTGTCGCCTTGCACGAGATACTGACATTTGTAGATTCTAGAACCACCATGTCAGAACTTGTTTCTCGATCCACTATGTTTGGGGGTACTGAAAGAGAGAACTGTAATCAGTCAACTAAAGAGAGTATGAATTTAACGATTTTAAAATATTTGGTCCGTTTGGGATAAGTTATACAACAAACGTTGTTAAAAAGCTATACTAAGTGACATATAAATCCGAACACCCAGTTTAAATGGTTTTATTTTAATACAAGTTGGTGAATGTTTTTATCTTACTGTAAATAACAAGAGAAACAATTTTCAGCCTTATCAGTCGGACATTCCGGTTTTTATACTGCTTTTTTTTAATTCACTAACGCTCTAAAAATGAATATTTCAGCCGCAGTAAAGAATCAACGTTGGCGGATTTTGGTTCTTGACATCCTTTACGATCGGTTACGATGCCTAGAGTACGGAGACCTGTACGATTTCGTCAACTTAGTGAGTTTGATAGGGGCCGTATAGTGGGACTTCGGGAAGCTGGACTTTCTTTTCGGGCAATTGCAGTTAGAGTGCAAAGAAGTGTAGACACTGTGGTTAGGTGTCGTCAGGCATGGCTTCGAGAAGGCCGTACGCAAAGAGCAAGGGGCACTGGACGCCGCCGTAGAACAACAGACCGTGAAGATCGCCGCCTAAGATTATTGGCCTTAAGGGACCGTTTCTCCACTACCAGGTCCATTGCAAATGAATGGTTTGCAGAACACGGTAGACCTATTGGCATGCGAAGTGTTTACCGACGGATGAGAAGTTTTGGCTTGTTTTCATACCGGCCATACTGGGTCCTCCCTTTAACTCGAGAACACCGACGTAATCGCCTTGAGTGGTGCAGACAACGGTCACTCTGGGATCAGGAATGGAACAGTATTGTCTTTAGTGACGAGTCTCGATTTTGTTTAGGCATGCACGATGGTCGTGCCAGGGTTAGAAGGCGACGTGGTGAAAGGAGGAATCCACAGTTTTTTGTTGACAGACATGTGGCATATGATGGGTAGGAGATTGCTCAATTTTCAACGTCCTCCTCAGACTCTAGAAGCACTTCGAGAGGAGTTGGTGGTTGCCTGGAATGAGATACCACAGGAGGACATTGACCACCTGATCGGAAGCATGCCTAGGCGCGTTGGAGAATGCGTAGCACATCAGGGTGCATCCACACATTATTAAAGGTCAAAGGGCTTTAAAGCAGTGCAATCATTTTGGAATTTTTATCATTTACTTATTATGCTTCATTAAGTACTTATACAAAATTTTATTAAAATAAAACCATTTAAACTGGGTGTTCGGATTTATATGTCACTTAGTATAGTTTCTTTTTTATAGTCGATTCAGATTTCAAATTTTAGATGACATACCCTAGTATTTTGACCTGTCAAAAATAGGGTTAATAAAGAGGAGAACCCAAAGCCGAAAAAATACATTTTGTGTTTATAACAATTATGGGATATGAAGTTCATTTTGACGAAAAGTTTGTTACTCTATCTCACAAAGTGACTGATTCACAAGCTGTCAAAGACAAGCGTTTCTTTCGCGAAAAAGATCCTGTAGCTCCAGGAGTAGTGGTCCAGACCTTGCGGCACTTGTAAACTAGTACTTTAGTCTCGCAACATGTTTTGCCGTTGCCAGCCCGTTCACCGGATTTAAATCCCATCGAACATGATGGCGAGGAGACTATTCACTTTGCACCATTCGCCACTGACTCTGCCACAGCCACAGCGAATCCACGAAGTTCGAGTTGCTTGGAATGAGGTGCCATAACCAGACATCGATCACCTCATGTTGTCGACGCCTAGATGTACAGGGTGCGGCAGAGAGGATGGACGGTTTTAAAAAAATCATAAAGTAGTTAATTTTTACCCGAAAACAAATTTATTGATGGAATCAGGTTCACAAGGAAATAGCAAAGTGTGGAAAATCACATCAGGCATGTGGTGGCCGAAATCGTTGATGCAGTGCTGGAGGCGTTCTTGGAAGTTCGCGTAGACTCTCTCCAACATCGCTCTCTCAACTTGGGCGACTTCCACGCGAATTTCGCCCTTCAATTCGTCCAGAGTTCGGGGCTTGTTCGCGTATACTCTAGCCTTGAGGTGTCCCCATAAGATCCATGTAAACTATAGTTGGAACCAAATAAAGTTTTTTAAAAACGAAGTTTGAAGTTCCGACTACATAATTGGCGCAGCCCGCAGTAGGATTCCCAAAGGGATTTCCGCCGATTAGCCCTGGAGTCCGAACTCTTAATTGGGAATCACGAACCTCCGTGACGAGCCGGTACGACTGAAGAAAGAAGAAAGAATTTGGACCACAAGTGCCCTTTGTCCTGTTGAAGTCGACGTCCACCTGGGGAACCTAGGCCAAGAACGGGATGAAGTACTGGACCTATCAGTAAATGCTCATTGTATCCTTATTTTTTCATGAGTGACTCACCCCGACCTGTACATCCTTTCGAAGGTGATAGTGCAGATCAAATCGCTAATCGCATAGCAAGCTTAGAATTAGGAAGTAGGTGATGAACAAACAGTACGCAATTTGCTAGACTTGAGTGAACGAGTTGAAAACGTAACTATTCACTCAGACGATGAAAGCCTCATTCAAGAAATTAACCCTGTAGAAAAACCTATCAATGTTTTCAAGTACCAAATTTTTGTTAAAAAAGCTATTATGCCCAGAAAACTCACACTTCAAACCTTATGGGATCCGAAAAATATCTTGTACACATTGTATATTGTTAATGGTGATTTAACTCCTATTATACACTTTGTGAAAGGTTACATAATTGGTGTAACTGTTGCGGATTTTCATTAGCCCAATAACGACAATTCTGCTGGTTAACCATGCTATTTAGGTGAAAGTGAAGCTTCGTCACTCATAAACAAAATGAGGTTCTCATTTTGATCGATCAGTGCTTCCATCTCACGTGCGAAGTTCAATCGTTGTGCATAATCTCCGGGCCGTAACTGTTGCACAATGGCCATTTTGTAGGGGTGAAAGCGGAGATCCGTATGCAAAATTCGCCTTACCGAACGATCACTAAGGCGAAGTGCAGCATGTTTCCGGGCAGATCGAGTCGGACTGCGAAGAAATACCTGTCGAACGCGTTCAACATTTTCAGGAGTTCGAACTGTTCGCGGCGCTCCTCTTGGTCTTCTGTGGATCAGATCACCACGCCTGCGAAGTGATTCAACCCAACGAAGGATGGTGTTTCGAGAGGGAACAGCTCTATTCCGATGAATGTTGAAGTGGCGACGAAACTCACGCTGTACGACGATGACTGACTCATTATTTCGGACGAAACAATCATAGGCGAAAACGCGGTGCTCCACCATCCAAGGCTCCATAAAATAATGCTAGAATCTCACGAGTCAAACGGCACCCTCCCCACCTCTCTCGTAGACGGACGCGGAGAGTACTACCCATCCCAAAAACGTCCGTCCTCTCTGCCGCACCCTGTATATAGGAGTGTATTCAGCTGCGGGGTCGGCCTAACACATTATTGAGATTTTTTATTATTACTTGTCAATAAAATTTTGTGAGAATCTAATCGTTTCATTCTTGATGAAAGATTTCCTCATTGCCAATAAATCAAGTAGAAGAAATAATTTTTTTTGGATGTAACACTTGTCACTAAGCATATACTCTATAGCAGAGTAGGCGAGTCTTTATGCATGAACGTGCCATTTTTTTAAAGAAATGTTTAATGAGGTCATAGTCAACAATTTTGACTTAGGAAAATTGGGAAAATATACTAAGTGACATATAAATCCGAACACCTAGTTTAAATGGTTTTATTTTGATAAAATTTTATATAAGTACTTAATGAAGCATAATAAGTAAATGATAAAAATTTCAAAATGATTGCACTGCTTTAAAGCCCTTTGACCTTTAATAATGTGTGGATGCACCCTGATGTGCTACGCATTCTCCAACGCGCCTAGGCATGCTTCTGATCAGGTGGTCAATGTCCTTCTGTGGTATCTCACTCCAGGCAACTACCAACTCCTCTCGAAGTGCTTCTAGAGTCTGAGGAGGACGTTGCAAATTGAACAATCTCCTACCCATCATATCCCACACGTGCTCAATTGGGGATAAGTCGGGAGATCTTGGTGGCCATGGTAACAATGTGACATCATTATGTTGAAAAAAGTCTATTGTGACTCTTGTAACATGTGGTCGGGCATTATCTTGTTGGAAAGTTGGATCTGCCAGGGTGTCAAGATAGGGTAAAAGATGGGGTTCTAGAATTTCGTGGATATAACGCTGCGCGTTCATGTTACCTCCGATGAAGATTAAAGGTGACCTGGAACCATAAGCTATAGCACCCCAAACCATAACTCCAACAGTGTGATGAACACACACAACAAAAAACTGTGAATTCCTCCTTTCACCACGTCGCCTTCTAACCCTGGCACGACTATCGTGCATGCCTAAACAAAATCGAGACTCGTCACTAAAGACAATACTGTTCCATTCCTGATCCCAGAGTGACCGTTGTCTGCACCACTCAAGGCGATTACGTCGGTGTTCTCGAGTTAAAGGGAGGACCCAGTGTGGCCGGTATGAAAACAAGCCAAAACTTCTCATTCGTCGGTAAACACTTCGCATGCCAATAGATCTTCCGTGTTCTGCAAATCATTCATTTGCAATGGACCTGGTAGTGGAGAAACGGTCCCTTAAGGCCAATAATCTTAGGCGGCGATCTTCACGGTCTGTTGTTCTACGGCGGCGTCCAGTGCCCCTTGCTCTTTGCGTACGGCCTTCTCGAAGCCATGCCTGACAACACCTAACCACAGTGTCTACACTTCTTTGCACTGTAACTGCAATTGCCCGAAAGTCCAGCTTCCCGAAGTCCCACTATACGGCCCCTATCAAACTCACTAAGTTGACGAAATCGTACAGGTCTCCGTACTCTAGGCATCGTAAAGGATGTCAAGAACCAAAATCCGCCAATGTTGATTCTTTACTGTGGCTGAAATATTCATTTTTAGAGCGTTAGTGAATTAAAAAAAAAGCAGTATAAAAACCGGAATGTCCAACTGATAAGGCTGAAAATTTTTTCACTTGTTATTTACAGTAAGATAAATACATTCACCAACTTTTATTAAAATAAAACCATTTAAACTGGGTGTTCGGATTTATATGTCACTTAGTATATTATCAACTATTTATTTGCTATAAAAAAGGTACACTTTGCAATGTTTCAATTAAATTCGTAATTTTTGGGAAAATAATAATAATAAATATTATCAATTCTTTATTTGCTACAATAAAGGTACATTTTGCAATGTCTCAATTACGAGGGATGTCTTTTAAGTTTTGCATATGGAAATAAAACAACGGGGTAGGTAGTTTTAAATGACTTTATTGTTTTTCGAAGTATTCTCCACGAAGATTAATACACATCTGCAAGCGCTCGAACCAATTTTTGAAGCACTCATTCCACTCGTTTGCTGGCAGATCCAAAACGGCATTTTTGAATGCGTCAACTGCTTCTTCTGGTGACTGGAACCTTTGACCACGCAGTCTATTTTTAATCTTCGGGAAAGTAAAAAAAATCGTTAGGACTTAGATCGGGACTATATGGAGGATGGTCCAATAATTCCAAGTTTTCTTCTGTTAAATACTGCCTTGTTTTTTGGGCTGTGTGCGAGCTTGCGTTGTCTTGGTGGAGGATGATTCTTGCCGAAAACAGAAAGTAACTCGACAAGGCATTCCTGTTGCGATAATGCTGCACATTACCCTAATAAGGAGCGAATATTCACCTATGACGTTTCAGATACCTTTTGAAATAATGTACCGAAAACTCATCCCGTATGATGTGGCCATCATTTCCTCTATAATTTGATGACCAAGCTACATATAACGACGTCGTTCTTTCCCTCTGGCGAGTACGTGACCCTAAGGCCTTTTCGGTCTCCTTGAAAGGCACTCCTCGCCCCCAAACAGCGTCTCGGTCGAGTGGCATTCAAATCACCTCAATTCGGCACGCCGGAAACCCACTTTCCCGATTTTCCGGCCGATATTAAATTCGTTAGTTTATTGCGATTTCCTCAGGTGCCAATTTTGCTTTGGCAGTCGGCAGTTGCAACTTTATTGGAGCGCAGGAGAGTGTGTTATCCAGAATAAAGTAATATCATGATTTTCGGAGGAAAACATGCTGGAGATGTCTTGGACTTTTGGAAAAATGGGATATAACTTTTTATTAGAATAATTAAAAAGTATTTACTGTCCAACAGAACAGAAACGCCTCTAGCGGCCACAAACCTCAGCTATTATAAAACTGATAGCCCAAGAATAGCTCTCTTTAACTATACCAGAGTTCCCCAAACTTTTTTGTGTCGTAGACCCCTTGCCATGTTTTTCCGTGTAGGGTAGACTCCCTACTTACCTGATATTGATTTCCTGTAAATTTCTAACTGTAGTGAAGTTTAGTGTTAAACACTTAAAGTAAAAACATATGTTAATTTATACATTTATTAATTGAATTTAAATTAAAACTACTCAAAATAAAATTTTATATCTGATATGTAAAATATACGTAACATTAAATAAACAGGTATCTGACCAATAAGTGCCCGCATTGAAAAAAAAAATAAGAGGGATAAAATAAAAAAAAGTGAAAAATAATAAAAAAAAGTGTTTTACTTAAAATAGTACAATAAGCGAGTTCGTTTATTAATTATAACGTAAACGTATGTTCTACAATAATTTCACTGTTAGTTTGATTAAATTCCGATTCTTATACGTTTAAGTTATCTAAAAATAGGCAAAAAATTAATGAATTTAAGTGTGTACCTATCCTTGAATTTTCAGAATAATTTAAAAAAAAAATATTTTCTATAAAGGGAGTTCATTAAAAAAATCAATGCGGGCACTTATTCCCAATGCGGGCATTTATTGGTCAGACACCAATAAACATAAAATAAACTATAAATAAAATAACATAAGCAATAAGTCAATATTTTTAGTGAGAAGGATGAACCTGATGCTTTAATAATAAATTATCAACATTTGGCGTCAATTTTGTAAGGGTTAATCTTAAATCTCCTCGGCTAATGATGTCCAGTCTGTTCCTTTTTTTCGTTAGGAGATTGGTAACAGCGCTGAACGCCCTTTCCACTAGGTATGACGATGGAAAGGAAATTAAAAATTTCCTCGCTATATTCCATAATACGGGATAAGTAACGGGTATGTTGTTATGCAGCCAGAATTGCTGATATCCGTTTTTAAACTGAACCTTAAGTTCTTCGTTTGTACTTAGTTCAGTCAGTTGCTCTTGTATTATGACATTCGTTTCTTCTATGTCACCATATGGATTAATTATCCACGGTGGTATTACCATAGTCAAAATATCCTCAAACCTAGATTCAAAATCTGAATAGAGGGCATTTAAATGTTGAACGTAAGTTGAAACGTCGTCTTCCTGGCAGCTTGTCTGTGACAAATTGGGGAACTGAGAAAATTCGCCCCGTCCAATATTTTGCTTCATTAGTTTAACTCTGGCAAGAAACGCTGATAAGATGGACTTTGTTTTAATCAAATTTAAACTGTCGCCTTGTAATTGCAAATTAACCATATTAAATTTTGTAAACAAATCTGTTAAATAGGCGATGTCTGTTTTCCTCTTCATTAAATTTTCTTTTAAATTTTTATCTTTAGTATCCAGAAATTCTAAAATAGTCTCAAAAAGTGCAAAAAATCTTGTCAAACGTTAGCCTTTCGACAGCCAGCGTACTTCAGTGTGAAGGAGTAATTGATGAAAGTGTTCGTCATTTTCTTCACACAACTGCGCAAATAACCGCGTATTCAACGCGTTGCTTCTGATTCGGTTTACTGCATCAATGACTAAATGAAGTGATTCATGCAATCTAACACTCAAATTTTTAGCAACTAAATGTTGTCGATGGATGACGCAATGTTTTGCTAACACCCCTGACACATTTTGTTTTAAATAGCTTATAAATCCACGATAACGTCCAACCATGGCAGGTGCTCCATCTGTAGCTACTGATATTAGATTTGATAAAGGAATTGCTTTTTCAATGAAGTAATCCTTCAAAACTTGAAATATTGATTCACCTTTAGTGTCGGTTATCAAAGTTCTTGCGAAGAGCAGTTCTTCGTAGATTTCTTGATTCATAGTAAAACGAACACATGCCAATAATAATGCTGCATTATCAGGTAAAGTTGACTCGTCCAGTTGTATAGAGAAATGGGTCGTTTGCAAATAATTACATATGAAGCTTTCAATATCAGAACTCACTTCATCAATACGTCTTTCAACAGTATTGTTGCTTAAGGGAATTCTTTTAATGATATCAGATGCAGGTTTGTGTAAAACTGTTTTTAAAACCTCTTCAACGGCTGGCAAAATTAACTTCTCTCCGATAGTATGCGGTTTTCCGGATTTTGCTATAAGTAACGAGATATTGTAAGACGCCCGCAAACCATCATCATTTCTTTGTGACGTCGAAGCCCAGTGTAGGTCTCTTCTGAAATTTATCTTCGAGTGTTTGAAAGTATTTCAAATCTTTCTCTGTATTATCAGGGTGGCATCTTCTCAGATGATCTTGCAGTTTAGATGGTTGCATAGCGTCATTGCCCAAAACTTTGTTGCATAAAAGGCACATAGGCGATTGTTTGTCCGGCAATGATGGAATGAAGCCAAATTTCAAATAATCAACACTGTACTGTCTACATATCTTTTTAGATTCGGACATGGCATCAGTCATCTGTGGGCAAAATTAAATTATTTAAATAAGACAGAAAATCCAGCAGCTGTTTATTAAAAATATTTTTTGATTTTTCCGAAAACGTTTCATAATTCGAATTCTTGCAATAATTAGCTCGAATTACGGAGATTACACTGTAATTATATTACCGATTGCTAAAACTTTCAAAAAGAAACTATTGAGGAGTACTCGTGTAATTTTGCATGATTGAATATTTAACTACTAATAACTAAAGTCATGATTGGCGTAATTTATCTATCTTTGCTAACTACGAGTACAAAACTAAAATTTAATAAAAAAATAATGTACTTACTTTTCTCCAGTACTCTCAAACAAAATAACACTGACTCACTATAATTTGTGTGATATACTATCTGTTTATATTTTTCAAAATATTTTCTTAGCACTTTCCTTTTCAAGATTCAGGAAACGAATAAACGTATTTGTCCCACATTCGTATTTATAGAGTGACGAATTGAACAAGTCAGTGCAAGGTAGCGAAGCTCTGAGACTGCGACTCTCAGGTTTTTACAAGTTCAAAATGTATTGCGACCACAAAGCGAATACCAACATCCTACAACTTACACAATTTTATAAACATATATAATAATCTTTTACTTCATAGGTACTTTTATAAATAATGTATATGTTTTGATATTATAAGATAGTATGATGTAAGTAAATAGGTACTATCAGTGTATGTGTTGAGATCCACTATCGTGAACCCCCATATTCATTTCCTGGACCCCCAAATTTTTTTTCGCTGACGTAGACCCCTTGCAGGTTGTCATAGAATCAATGAACTAGACCAAGGTCGTTAAAATCGTATCAGTAGTTTAGAAGATACAGGACGTTATTTACGGAAATCTTTGAATACCCCCACCACTTTATTTTTAGATATACAGCAAACATTTTCAAACAAAAAAGCCTCAAATTATCCTCGAATTTTGAGACCAGGTATTTTTTTGCTAGGTTAATATAGCGGAATGCACAAAAACACAACTTTTTCAGATTCAAGATTGCAGTTACGCCCCCTAGCGGTCATTTGAGAAACATGAAAATATTTGCACACTTTAGCCAGAACCTTTTTGGCCGCATGCCTCTGCGACGGATAGGTTCCCAGATACAGCACCTCGCAGTCTTAGTTGGTCACCCTGTAATTCTTATTATGAATATATTATGGAAATGTATATTAAATATTCCTGCATTGTAATTCTGACGAGAAATATTTATGAAGAGAATTTGTTTTCATCACTGTTTTTCTAGGCAGTGAATAATGGTGATTTTCAGGTTAGCAGCGAAAACAGTCCTAAATGTACTCCATTGATCTGTACTTCTCAACCTAGTTATGTAATTTACCATCTCCGTTCAACTGCGTAACGTAAAGATAACTCGTACAACTGCAGATCTCCAGCGAAAACTTCAAAGTTAGAATTGCAGTGGCAGTGCGCGTTCCAACAAAACTTTTATCTGCTCCTGATGAAACGAAAACAGTCGAAGAGACGGTTAATTTTACTAAAAAGCAGTTTTCTGCCAGTTTTCCTTGTGATAAATGTCTTCTATTTGAAGTTCTCTGTGAGCCGCTGCCTCCGTTGTTGAAAATAGGAGCCAGATAGACTAACAAAGAATTTTATATTCATAGAATTATGTGAGTTATGGTGGAGATACGCGACTGACGTATACGACGGAATTCAATAAGCTGCTGAACGTGTAGAGGAAATTAGAGAGATCCGCTGAAAAATGGAATGTCCGAACTTAAGTATAAATTCATCTAATCGCATATCTATTGGAATACTTCTAGAAATACGCTTTCTATAGTCCGGGCAGAGAGTAGTTACATCAAGTTAGATGTTAGTAATCTGATATCAAAACAAGCAGTTTTTATTATTATTTTTTTGTATTGTTTGTTATCCACTTATTCTTTGTCCTTCTTTTATATATACTAAGTGACATATAAATCCGAACACCCAGTTTAAATGGTTTTATTTTAATAAAAGTTGGTGAATGTATTTATCTTACTGTAAATAACAAGTGAAAAAATTTTCAGCCTGATCAGTTGGACATTCCGGTTTTTATACTGCTTTTTTTTAATTCACTAACGCTCTAAAAATGAATATTTCAGCCGCAGTAAAGAATCAACGTTGGCGGATTTTGGTTCTTGACATCCTTTACGATCGGTTACGATGCCTAGAGTACGGAGACCTGTACGATTTCGTCAACTTAGTGAGTTTGATAGGGGCCGTATAGTGGGACTTCGGGAAGCTGGACTTTCTTTTCGGGCAATTGCAGTTAGAGTGCAAAGAAGTGTAGACACTGTGGTTAGGTGTTGGCAGGCATGGCTTCGAGAAGGCCGTACGCAAAGAGCAAGGGGCACTGGACGCCGCCGTAGAACAACAGACCGTGAAGATCGCCGCCTAAAATTATTGGCCTTAAAGGACCGTTTCTCGACTACCAGGTCCATTGCAAATGAATGGTTTGCAGAACACGGAAGACCTATTGGCATGCGAAGTGTTTACCGACGAATGATAAGTTTTGGCTTGTTTTCATACCGGCCACACTGGGTCCTCCCTTTAACTCGAGAACACCGACGTAATCGCCTTGAGTGGTGCAGACAACGGTCACTCTGGGATCAGGAATGGAACAGTATTGTCTTTAGTGACGAGTCTAGATTTTGTTTAGGCATGCACGATGGTCGTGCCAGGGTTAGAAGGCGACGTGGTGAAAGGAGGAATCCACAGTTTTTGTTGAAAGACATGTTCATCACACTGTTGGAGTTAAGGTTTGGGGTGCTATAGCTTATGGTTCCAGGTCACCTTTAATCTTCATCCGAGGTAACATGAACGCGCAGCGTTATATCCACGAAGTTCTAGAACCCCACCTTTTACCCTATCTTGACACCCTGGCAGATCCAACTTTCCAACAAGATAATGCCCGACCACATGTTGCAAGAGTCACAATAGACTTTTTTCAACATAATGATGTCACATTGTTACCATGGCCACCAAGATCTCCCGACTTATCCCCAATTGAGCACGTGTGGGATATGATGGATAGGAGATTGCTCAATTTGTAACGTCCTCCTCAGACTCTAGAAGCACTTCGAGAGGAGTTGGTGGTTGCCTGGAATGAGATACCACAGGACGACATTGACCACCTGATCAGAAGCATGCCTAGGCGCGTTGGAGAATGCATAGCACATCAGGGTGCATCCACACATTATCAAAGGTCAAAGCGCTTTAAAGCAGTGCAATCATTTTGAAATTTTTATCATTTACTTATTATGATTCATTAAGTACTTATACAAAATTTTATTAAAATAAAACCATTTAAACTGGGTGTTCGGATTTATATGTCACTTAGTATATTTTTATATTGTATTTCTGTTAATTTATTAATTTTAACTGATGGAAAGCTAATCTATTTTATCTGCTGTTGTTAGCCTATGGTGTCCATTTTAAAATATTTAATATGTTGTTGCTTGTCATTTTACTGTTTGTTTTTTTATGTATATACTTTTAAATTGTTTGTTGACGAACCCTATACATGTTTCATACATGTGTAATGGGTAATAAATATTATTATTATTATTAAAGCAGTCCTGATATTAGCTGTTGCCCTGTCTCCTCGCCAGGGTCGCTAGGTCGAACGCCGCATTGCCAGTCTCATTACATACCTCGTACATGCTAGGATTGTTAGTATAAAAAGACACTTACCAACGATCTGTAAGTATCCCTTCCTCGATCTCATAGGGTCTGTGTTGATTTGGCACATGTACCATCCTCTGTCGACCTCTTGAACGTTGGTGATATGCAGATACCACGACCGATGATCGTTGTACGAGATTGAGATCCGAGGATTTTGAGTGATGACATTGTGATGGATCGAAAGGATAGTTTGCGTGTCGACTCTGACCCACGCTACCTGCAACAAATGGAAACGTGTAATAAATAACCGATCTTCGGAAAGATGGATGACTAGGTTATTATAAGTAAGTATTGACCAAAGGACTAATAAAATCTGCAAACGAAAAAGAAAGACTGTATAAAATCATGAAATATTTACCCACAAAAGAAAATATAGATCATTATAATCGGTATAAAAACAAATTTATAGAACTTTTGAGAAAAGCAAAAAAAATTACTATATAAAACAATTGAATAATAATTCACATGACTCTAGACACCTATGGTCCACTGTCAATGATATATTCAATAAGTCATCCTATTCAAAAAACAATATTAATGAAATAAAAACAAAAACGGGACAGAAAACAGACAATATTCAGCAAATATGTGATGAGTTCATAGAATTTTTCACGAATATAGGAGGAAACTTAGCAAATAATATCAAACAAAATGTTGATATTCATCTGCATGAAACAAGACTAAATAATTCATTTGTATTAACTGAAGTAGACTATCAGGATGTTTTCAATGCCATTGTGACTCTAAAAAATAAAAAAAGCCCTGGAGTTGACGAAATTAGAGCTGAACATCTAAAGATACTGGCCAAACAAATAACAGAACCACTTGCTTATATCATTAACAAATCCTTCCATTTCCATCAGCTTTCAAGACAGCAATCATCATACCTATCTATAAATCTAATGATAATACGGACGTCACTAACTATCGACCTATTTCACTTATATCAAGTTTAGCTAAAGTTTTTGAGAAATTACTCCTTAATAAAATGATTAATTTTCTTAATAAATTCAAAATTCTAAATTCAAATCAATATGGTTTTATAACGGGCAAATCTACAACAGATGGGATATTAAGTATAGTAGATGAAATAACCCAAAATATAGATGGAAAAGTACCATCGATATGCGTATTTGCGGACTTACAAAAAGCGTTTGATACAGTTAACCACAATATACTTTTGGAAATCTTAGAAAGAATAGGTTTTCGTGGAAAGATGTATACTTTAATGGAAAATTATTTATCAAATAGACCGCAATCAGTAAAATTATTAAGCTCGTATAGTAAAGAAATGTTTGTTAAATGTGGTGTTCCACAAGGTACAATTTTGGGACCTCTGTTATTCAATATTTATTTAAACGATATATTCAAAATTAACAGTACTGGTAAAATAGTCAGTTTTGCAGACAATACTGCTATACTCTATAAAGGTAAGGATTGGAACGACTTAAAAGATATTATCCATAATGACTTTTGCAAAATTATTCAGTGGTTTAATAACCGAAAATTAACAATTAACTTTAATAAAACTCATTTTTTACCATTTTCATCACTATCTAATCATCTACCAAAATATAACCACCTTCGGTTTAAGGTAAATGATAAAAATATAAAAATCAATAGAGTTAATGATACAAAATATTTAGGAATTTATCTAGATCCCCACTTGAGATGGGATGTACATATTTCTCACATACTAAAGAAAATTAGATTCATAGCATATAAAATAAAATTTATAACCGGTATATTAACTGAATATTATCTACGAATAATATATCAAGTTTTAGTCGAGCCACACATAACATATGATATAGTAGTGTGGGGTGCTGCATGCACGACATACTTTAACGATTTAGATGTACTTCAAAGAAGAATTTTAAAATCAATGTTAGGCAAATCAAAATTATACCCAACTAATGACTTATATAATGATGCACAAGTATATGATACTAAACAACTTTACTTCTTACATACCATCACTCATTATCACAAAACTATTAGTGAACACGACATAATTAAACATAATCATAAAACCAGATTAAATTACGCGCAAAAAATGTTCCTAAACCAAACAAATCCCTAATGAAACGATGTCACCTGTATATAGCTCCAAAATTGTACGAACATTTACCAAATAATTTAAAACAATTACGCAATACATTAGGCTTCAAAAAAAAAATTAAAAAAATTTATTAACACGATTGGGAGAAATCAAATTAATAAAATAATCTCAAATATTACACAATAAATGCTCTACCATTCTTACCAATAATTTCTTTTTTCTCTCTATTTTATTATATTTTGCAATTCAACATACATATGATCCATGCACAGGCGTTGTCCTCCTATGGATATATTATATTTATTTACTCGTTTCATGTTCCCTGTATTTTAGAGTAAATAAATATTATTATTATTATTATTCTAAAATAGATATGACAAAAGCATTAAAAAGTAAAATTAATGTATTAGTATTATTGAAATGTCTACTGTGTCTTATAACAAAACTAAGATTTTTAACGGCTTTTGTTATTATTGCATTAATGTGATCAATAAAAGAAGGCGTTAGATCGAATAATACGCCCAAATCCTTGACGATATTAACACGACAAAGAACATTGCTACCGATTTCAAAATTAAAACATA